ATGGGAATGGAAGAGGAAGAAGAAGAAGAAGGATGAGGTTAGGAACGTGGTTTTGGAAATTTTAGGAAATTAAGGTTTAGATATTTTAATGATTTTTTTTTTAATTCATAAATTGCTCTAAACTGGGGTACGTATAATATTTTTTTTTTTCAAATATCATATTAGGTACTATATGTTATATAGTATGATATTTAATTTACAATTAGATCAATCAATGATACGTGAAACTTAAGTTAACGATATCAAAAATTAGTAACTAATAGAGATTAAATAAAATTTTTTTTCGAAAAATACAGAGACTAAATAGAATAAAGTAGAGATATGAATTACTTTGAATAAAAATAAAAAACATAAGGATTAAATTATTATTTTAACTTTTTTAAAATAATAAATTGAGATAATAATATATCTTTTTTTTTTATATAGTAAATACTTATCTACATATTGAGACATATTCTTATTTTAATTTATATTCTAAATGGTTACTTTAAAATCATATTAGTTTATACTTAAAGAAAAAATAATTAAAAAAATTTTGACAAAAAAGTAAAAGAGTATCCCTATAAAAATATAGAGATCATCTTTTGCTTCTTGTTATATATGATTTACTTATCTATTAACTTTATTTAATGATCATATTTGTTGTTTTATAAGGATTAAATAATAACCTAACAATGACATGATTTTATGTCAGTTCTAATAATCATATAATTGAATTTTTTTTTATGATATTGTCAATGACTTATTGAATGTTACATATTGCTAACTAAAATATGTATATCTTAGTTGATTTTTTTTTTTTAAATATCTCTTATTTTTTCAATCTATAAAATTTTTTAAAAATAAAGCCTAAGTAGTTCTATAATTTTTTCACAATAGATATATTTTATATTGTATTTATTTTTTTAAAAAATAAATATTTTTTTATTAATTTAATTAAAACAATACATGTCGGGCGGGAGGTAAAGTCTCTCATACATTATATTTTGTTGGAGTAAAAACGGGCATCCTGAGCAATTCGATGGGCTACTACGTTTCCTTGTCTTTTGATCAAAGTAGCAGATATATTTTGTTTGAGAGTGAGAGCAACTTCATGCAATCCTCTACTATAAATACAAACTCAGAATTATCAGGTTTTTTTTTGTGTAAGTGTGTCGACTTCCAGGATGTTTGGTCCGGAGATATTTGAAGATATGTATTGCAACATTCTCTGACACCCAAGTAATTCGAACAAGTAACAGTGATCTGACAGCCCGGTCTCCTTCCCGATAGAGCCTTCATAACTCTTCCCGACGAGTCCCGAAAGGTGGCTCCATAGCCAAGTTATGAGTCTGTATCATAAATTGAACCATCCACAGGAGTCTACCACGTAACAGAGTTGGTAGAAAATTGGTTGTGGTTTATGCTGATACCTTTTGCCTGTTTCCACTCATATAAATATTTCCTTATTAAGCCGATGGATGAACGAACGATCAACAAACAACTTTCCATTCCAAGTAGATTCACCATAAGCAGCACAAAACCTCCTCCACCACCTGTCAGGTCCCAACTCTGGTTTGTCTGCACCCGAATACCCAAAATTTATATTGTACTTATTAAAATATTTTTTATGATATTATTTGTACATATATTGTGTGTGTGTCAGTGTGTACATATATATTCAATCTATCAGGTTGCTATAGGGGGACAATTAAATACTTCCACACGAGGGTTACTAACACACCTTAATATGTTTGTTTGCGAGCAGATAATTTCACAGACCATACAGTTCATACGTTCCAAAACAATTATCACCAAAATATCTTTATAACAAACCCAAACTAAATATAGTAATTTTGAAATGAATTTTTGGGACCAAATCTAGTTCTTGTGGAAGAAGGAGATGAAAATTAGCAAAACAAAATCAGATTGCTTAAAAACTGTGGTAAAAAGTAAATAAAATTTTATTAAAAATAAAAAATTATGCATTTTAATTAAAAAAAAATAAAGTGTAGTTGTACAGTAATTATATATATTTGTTTTTAATTTTTGTGATTTAGATTCAAAGATATTAAGACAGTACTTAAGTAATTCAATTAAATAAAATAACAACTTAATAATTAGGAATGCAGCGTTAAGTTTCTACATTTTATAATCAAAATTAAGAAACTAAAACACTCTTTTTTTTTTTAATATCCATGAAAGTGAAGATTAAAATAAAATGTTGGCACGACTTATAATATGTAAATAAATAATCTCAATTCTCTAGAATAATAAACTGGTAAGATTTCTAAATCTAATTTAAAAATTAATTTTAAAATAAAATAATTTTTTTTTTTGAATTCTAAAATATAAAAAAATTACGAAGGCAGCTGAAGCTGAACCAATTCCGTGAAGGAGGTATCCTCTTTTTGTCTACCTGTTAAGCAGGAAACAAAAACACTGCGCCTAACCGAAGGAATAGAAGGGCAACGCAGAGCAAGGGGAGGAAAATTTACAGAATATATCGTAGGAAGGCAAACCGGAGGTTCGGCTATGGACGTGATAAAGACCCAACAAATATCATCGAGACCCATTGAAAAGGTGATAGTGCACCCCCTGGTGCTACTGAGCATTGTTGACAACTACAACCGAGTTGCTAAGGACACTCGCAAAAGAGTCGTGGGTGTCCTACTCGGCACTTCCTTCAAGGGCACCGTCGATGTGACCAACAGCTATGCAGGTCTACTCCTAACTTTTCTTTGGTAATTTATTTTCTGTTGGATCTGAAGTTGTTCCATTTCGTTTTTGGTGGTCGATAAAATGCAATGTATAATAGGCGAAACTTAGGTTTCTAGTATGTGTGCTTTCTTTTTCTTGGCAGTTTGAAATGAGGGCTGTGGCTTTTGACGGTCAAGGCGTATGAGACAATGATGGGATGCACTAGGGTTTTGATAAATAAAATCTCATAATTGTTGCTGCTTGATTACTCGTTTTCAAGCTTATGTGTTCACTTTTGATTGACCTTTGTTTTGTTATTATTCCTAATTTGTGGATGATTTTTGGGCTTAACTTCATTTATATATTTTTTTTTCCAAAGACTGTCGATCATATTACTAAGTGTCGCTGTTTAGGTTTCCTTGCTTGTTAGGTTTAGGCCTCACTTTTTGTAAGCTGTGTGGAACTTCAAATTGGAGGAAATGAGTGGGGATTAATGTTATTCAACATTAATAATACATGTTTAGCTCCAGTTAGAGGCCTTCTTTTCTGTAAGAAAATAATTTCTTCCTCGAATGCCAAATTTTCTTGTGTTTTGGGAACTTTAGTTATGTTGTTGCAAGGAGCAAGGTTGTAGAACTTGTTGAAAAACCAGATGACAATATTTTTAAACAGCCAACAAATCATTATTATTCGCAGTGCACCAAGAGGGTGCTACTTGTCTAGAAAAGTACGGATTTGCTTTAGTACATGGGAAAAACTTTAATAGGTGTATAAGCTCTCTCATTGGTGAGATTATGGTAGTTGAATTGCACATTTGGGATCTGAGGTCAGTTGTCCCTAATTTTATCACAAGGGTGTATACTTCCTTAAAAAGCCCTTTTGTTCCTCCCATCCAAATGACCTGGAAAATGGACAACTGTGTCAAGGAAGTGATTCTTTTCATTTTCTTTATTTGTGACAATCCCTTAATATTCCCAAAGTTCTGCCAAAACCAAGCCACCTACTACCCATTTCAACCCCAAAATGGATAGGATCACCTCCCAATTTGTCCAACACCAACACTGAAAGGGTTGTCCTGGAGAGTCACATTCTTATTTAAGTACCACTTGTTCATCATTTTAGTGTTATGTCAATGTTTATCTTTTTACTTTTAGAAAGAGAAAATCCTAGAAGTGAGAGTGCGTGAACGTTCTTTTTGGTTGTTTTCACTAGAAAGCAAGGACTTCCATGGCAATTTCTATCGCCAAGAAATTCTTGGTTGTGGAAAGGAAGTACTTCAACTTTAAGACCGTGGGAAGAAAGGTGGAGGGGCTAGAGGTATGTGAGAACAAAAGAGGGATTTGGGTCTCCATTAATTTCTGTGCTGAGGAGGTGGAATGGCTAGTGAATAGTTCACAGGGGTTTTATTGGGGGGAAGGAAAGGGTTCTTGGTGAGAAGTATGGTTGGGTCCAAACATACCTTGTGGGTGGTGCTAGGTGAGAAATGGGGGGTGAGAAGTTCTTAGTTTTAACAGAACAGAGAGGCGGAAGAGAATCATTATCCCTAAATGGTTCTAGGAGAAAGGATGGTGGAAAATGCTGATGTTGTGTTCAAGTTGGTTGGGAAGTCGTCTTCGTAGTCAGAGAAGTTGAATTTGGACAGAAAGCCACGAGCTTTAGGCGGTGCTTAGTTTGTATTCGACTAGAGGAGTTTGTAGTGGCTTGTCTAAGTGCAGCACAAAGCTTTGCGTTTATGGAGGTAGTGAAGGATGGGGTGGGGACGAGGATCTAGGTGGAGGAGACAGGACCCAATGGAGGTACAAGTTCAAGATTTTTAAGTTCCATAAATCGGCCTCTTAAGGGCCTAAAGGCAGGTTGGGCCTATTAAAGCCCAATAAACAGAATGAGCTGGTTGAAAGCCTTTTAGAGGAGAGGAAGAAGTTTTCTTGGCTTGAGAAGGGGAAATGGAAGTGAGGAAACAAACCTAGGTCCGTTTGGTAGAGAAAATAGGCACGGAGAGAGAGTCTGAAGAAGTTAGTGATCTGGGAGGAGGCCCGAGCAGAGGGAGGGAATTTCTTGACTTCAGATTGTTTCTCAGAGGAGAGTTTATGTTCAATGGGCTTGGGAATGGAGCAGGGCCTTGTCTATGGTCCTGGAGGGAGAGAAGGGAGACGTTGGTGAGTTGAGGGAGGATAATAGTAAGGAGATGGGGTGATAAGCAAATTCCAGAAGAGAGGGAGGAGACAAAAGGTGGGGTTTTGGCTTTAGCTATCTGTTGCGAGGATGTGGTGGGTAGAAGGTAAAGAGAGAGAAGTTGGTGAGGGTCCAAAAAATTTTGGCCAATGGTAGTGATGGAAAGTGAAGTATATCTGTGTGGAAAGAAAGACAAATGTTGCTTGGATCCTTGCATATCTGTGTGGACAGAAAGATGAAAATGTTGCTTGAATCCTTGAAAACTTTAAAAAATTCGCAAGTTGTTGGGGGTGAGTTTTGAGAGTTATAAGGATAAAGCTTTAGATCTTTTCAAGGCAATTGTGAATAGCAAGGGAGTAAGTATAAGCTTTAAAAATCATGGCTTGATGTATAAAATGAAGAATGAGTTTGACAACGAAAGAGAATTCAAAAGATTGCAATATTCGATAAATATGACAGGATGAGCAAGGGGGAGAAGGGTAAGAAAGGGAGAGCTGGAAGTAATTTGTTGTAATTAATAAAACTATTTTATGGAATGTACAAGATTTAAATGATGTAAAATAAAAGGCTGATAATTAAATGGTGTATAGCAAGATGGAAACCTGATGTAATGCTTTCAAGAATCCAAATTAGAATCTTTTGGGGTCTTTTTGTTGGGGCATGATATTTATAGGATGAAAGATTTTGGGAATATTATAGATATATTAATTAATTTGTAAACTTTGTTCATGGGTGGTACTCTCTTGATATCTTTGTGAAAAAAAAGACATTGGATGGGGCCTATATCCATTCAGATTTGAGAATAAATGGCTTTATGGATAAAATCAAGGAGTGGTGGGATGAGGATAGAAGTAGAAGGTCCAATTGATAGATCTGTAACTATTTTGTATACGGACAGTACCCCCTTGGTACCTTGTGCATAATAATACTTCACTTTTATTTAAAAAAAAAAAAAAGAGGATAGAAGTGGAGGGTTGTAGCTAACAAATTAGCAATGATCAAAGATAAGCTCAAGAATTGGAGCAAGGAGGAGCTAGGGGCAGATTATTTGAGGGATGTTTTGTTCTCTAAATTGTAGGATCTTGATAGATTAGAGGGGAGAGGGTCTTTCAGTTGAAGAGAGCTAGAATAGATAGAGAGTCCAATTCGAGTTGACTAATTTACTACTTAGGGAGGAAGTTGCTTGGAAACAAAGATCGAGAGCCAGGTGGATTAAGGAAGGGTGTAGGAACTCTAGGTTGTTTCATTCTTGGGCGAGTCATCATAGAAGATATAACTATATCGAGGAATTAGAGATCAATGGTGAAGTGGTCAAAGGCAATATGGACCTAAGGGAGGGTGTCAAGACTATGAGGAGTTGTATGCAAGTCATGCCTTCGAGATCAACCTTGGATGGGCTTAATTTCAATAGATTGTTTGAGCAAGGTTTTCATAGAGAAGGAAATATATGTATAGGTCTAATGAGTTGCAAGGGCGATAAAGTCCTACGACTAGACAATTTCGACGTGCAGTTTTTTCAGGATAATTGGGGGGCTATAAAGGCTAATCTCATCTTTGCTTGAGTCTGGATCCTTCATGAGAAGCTTGAATTCCACTTTTATGGTCTTCGTTCCAGTGGTTGTCCATCATATCAAGGATTTTAGACCAATTGGTTTGATAAGAGGTCTATAAAATTATTGCTAAGGTTCTTGCAAGGAGATTGACCAAGCTGGTGGGTAAAGTAGTGGGTGAGAACCAACATGCTTTTGTGGGTGGAAGGTAGATCCTTGATGCAACTCTTATAACTAAGTTATTGATTACTTGTTGAAGCGGGGGATGAAAGGGGTGCTTTGCATGTTGGAGGTGGAGAAGAGCATATGAACATGTCAAGTGAATTTCTTATGTTACATGTTGGAGAGAATGGATTTTGGGGATATATGGGTTGATGGATTAACATTTGCATATCTTCGACATCTTGGTTCTACTTAATGGTGGTGTTTCATCTTTTTCTAAAGCTTCTAGGGAGCCTAAGACGATGGGACCTGTTGTCGCAGTTGCTGTTTGTCATAGTTATAGAAGCCCTAAATAAAATGCTCACTAAAGCAAGGGAATAGAGTCTTTTTAGGGGCTTGAGGATGAGGAAGATGGATGAGGTTGAAGTGATTAATTCTTTGTTGATGATACCCTTCTGTTATAGAAGTAGAATTCAAGGGACCTTTCTCAATATTAAACTGTGTGTTGTTGTGTTTTCAAGCTGTCTCTAGTCTCAAAATAAATTTGGGCAAAATTTAAAACTTGTTCAAGTGGGTGCAAATAGGTGGATAGAGATTTGGGCACTATCTGGAGTATAGAAGTGGTAATCTCATTGGAAATATAAGGTCTCCTCTGGCACTAAAATTCAAGGAAATCTTGGTCTGGGATCCAGTGATGAGTAGGTCTGAATCTCAGCTTACAAGTTGGAAGAGGATATTACTTTCTAAAAGAGGGGTATTGACTCTCATCAAAATGCCATAGCCAATATTTCTATTTATTTTATATCTTTGTCTACTATCGCAATAAGTGTAGCAAAGAGGTTAGAGGCAATCTAGCAAAGGTTCCTTTGGGGCGATTCAAAGGAGAGGAGGTACCATTCAATGGCTTGGGCTCTGGTGAAACATCCGATTGGGGGTGGGTAAGATCTTTGGTTGAATTCAATATTGCTCTGGAAGGCAAATGGCTTTGGAGGTTCATGATGGAGAGAGAGAGAGCTTATGGAGGATGGTGATTGTGGCAAAGTTTGGTTTAGATATTTCTGGAAGGTATGGATCCCAAGGGGCTGCATGGTGTTGGCTTGCGGAGGAAGATTAATGTCATGAAAGGTGCCATTCCAAAATTGTGTTAAATGGAGAGTAGGGTCAGGGGGAGCTGCTGAAGTTTTGGAGGGATGAGTGAATGGAAGGAGGGGCTCTCTTCATACATTTTCCTCAATCTATGCTATTGCACAACACAAGAACATTTCTGTTAAGGACGCTCTTGTGAGATCCACTGGTGCATGCACATGGTTTGTCATTTTAACAGGGAATTTGAACAACTGAGAGGTAGATGAATACATAAGACTTCTCAACTCTCTTGCTTAGGTGTCAGTTCCTGGAGAGGTTGAGGACGAGCCTCTATGGTGTCTCAACAGGAATGAGCGGCTTACTGTCAGAGATCTCTTTACTTGCAATTGACCAAGAGAGGGGGAATTGATGAGAAGTTCTCCTCAAATATGATTTAGAAAGTGAAGGTGATTCCATATGTGGTTTCTTTTGCTTGGGAAGAGGCTAGGAATAGTACTCTCATGTTGGACAAATTGTTAGAAAGGGAGGAATTTTAGTTACTGGCTGCTATTTTGTGTGAAAGTGGTGAGGAGACGTGCAACCATATCCTCTGCTATCCATTCGCTCTCCGTCTTTGGACCTTGGCTTACAGTCTTTTGGGTTTGAGTTAGGTCATTGAAGGGACCCATGAGGGAAGAGTTGTTGGAGTGGAAGGAAATTTAAAAGAATAAGAAATCTCTAAGACTTACTCCTTTGGGCTACCTTTTAGGCAATTTGGAAAGAGATGAATGGAAAGACTTTTGAAGGGGTTGAATTTGCTTTTGATAATTTTAAATACTTGTACTCCAGGTTCTAAATTTTTTGTTAAGGAGCTATCCATTGTACTCTAGTGAGGATGTTGAAAACCTTATAGATATTTTGCTAAAAATGTAAACATTTTTATACACGGGCTGTATTCTCTTCGGGCCATGTTAATACAAGTTATCTTGAATCTATTCCTAAGTTTTTTATTGGTTAGTATTTTTCCCAAAGTTGCTTCTCTAGCAACAGGAGATGTCTTGGCTTTATCATTTTTGCTTCAGGGGGGAAGTTGCCTAGCTCTACAATCATATGCTCTTTTATTAGGAGATAGATGGATTAACATCAAAAGACATCTCTCCTTAGTTTCCACCTCATTTCATCTTTCTTTTCCGTGCACACTCTTAACGCTAAATAGAGCCTCGAAGAATGTTGCCATATTGTTGACGTCCCAGCAATGAGATTCCTAAGGAAGGATATCTTCCACAAAATTTCTCAGCCATGGAGGGGAAAAAGTCCTCTAACCACGCCATTTTGAAAAGCAATGAGTTGGGACTCAGAGTTGTATTCCAACTCCAAATGTCATTCCAAAAGTTCATATCATCTCCCTTCTTGTACTAAGCCTCAAGTGCAGTACTAACTCCCACCCTTTTCTAATCCACTTTCAAATTTCTACCTCAGGACTTGGACAGTTGTTCAATATCACCCTTTTCTAATCCACTTCCAAATTTCTACCTCAGGGCTTCGACAGTTGTTCAATATCACATATCGCTTTACCCCATAATGGTAACCTTTACTTAGCCAACTCAGTGGTTCTTGACTTGTTGTCTTGTTTCTTCATGAAGCGCCATAAACGCTTGGTTACAAGAACCTGTTAAAGAGGTAGCTGACCAAGCCACCCTCTTGTGGAGCATGCTTGAATGAATCCTAACAGACCATCTGGATCTGCCTATCTCTGAATACCACCATACATTGCAAATATCAATCTCTTGGCAATCTAGCATGGAATAGGAAAGAGTGACGAAAATGTGATTGGTAAAATATTTATGGTCCTGATTCTTCTTGGTATTAATTTCAGAACTGCACAGGGATTGGCTGGTAGCCTATTGAGCTTTGGTCGCTTTTTCTCTTTTTGTATTCCTTTTTCTTTGGGAGGCTAACTACTCATCCATTGTCTGTACTTCTCTTTCTCTATCCAATAATTTTTTTTTTCTGTAGAAAAATTTAAGAACTGTGTTTTTAAACATTGAGGTATAACTATATACTACTAGATTATATGTGAAGATTAGGCTCCTTCTGGTGCATGAAAATGTTTTATAGTTTTCATTTTTTCTTAAATTTGTAGATCTCATTCATAAAACTATAGAAGTTAGTTAATTTTTTCCCTTTGGGAACATGCTAATTTGGGCCTTAGTAATGGAGGGGCTACTTGAATGGGATCATTATATTCTTCTTTAGCTGAGCAATATAATTGGCTATTTGTTGCACTAAACTTATTTTTCTCATCCAGTGAGGAAGTGATCATTGGTTTATACTTCTAAAAGGTACCATCTTTGTTTTCAGTGCCCTTTGAAGAAGATGAGAAGGATCCAAGCATATGGTTTCTTGACCACAACTACCATGAATCAATGTTTTCAATGTTCAAAAGGATTAATGGTAATTAATTTGCCATGTTCTTGTAAAGGATGATCTGTATTTTACTCTCTGATGATGTGAATTTGTATCTCAGCCAAGGAGCACGTTGTTGGTTGGTATAGTACAGGCCCAAAACTACGTGAGAATGATCTAGACATTCACAGGCTATTCCACAAGTACTATTATGTACACCCTTTTTATTTATTCTTGAAAAGTCTGTTTTTATTTTTTGGATTGGAGTTTATTTTTTGATCAAGTTGTTTTGGTTTTTAGCTATGTCCCAAACCCTGTCTTGGTCATTATTGATGTTCAACCTAAGGAGCTTGGAATACCCACTAAGGCCTATTATGATGTTGAAGAGGTTAAGGAGGTAGGAAGATATCAAGTTTGCTTTGCAGTTGCTGCATCTTATTAACCTGATAATTACTGTGGTTATTGAAGTAGCATCCATGATGATAAGGAGTGAAAGATACAAATCAGAGTGTCATTTTGTTGTCGTTTCCCCTTTATGCTCATTGGAGATTGGATTAATACTTGAAAATGCTTGCAGAATGCCACCCAAAAAAGCCAGAAAGTTTTTGTTCATGTGCTTTCAGAAATTGCTGCTCATGAGGTTGAGGAAATTGGTATGGTAAAAAATGAATATTTTTCACTATAAATTTAGCTATTTTCCAGAGTTGATATGATTGTCATTTGATTCTGAAAAATTAGAATTTAATTAGTGAACTTCCTTATCCCATCAACAGGAGTGGAACACTTGCTAAGGGATGTGAAGGATACAACTATTAGCACACTAGCAACTGAGGTTATATATATATATGTTTTGTCCTTTGGCTAGCTGCCACATACTTTAGTTGATTTAGAAATATATATTGGATTTTTGAGCTTTTATTTTTCATTCCCAACTTAGTTACCTTCTGTCTTACAGGTTACTGGAAAACTTACAGCATTAAAGGGTTTAGATGCACGACTGAGAGAGATACGTGGTTACCTTGATCTTGTCATTGATGAGAAGCTTCCACTAAACCATGAGATACTTTACCATCTACAGGTATATTTCTTATGATTCTGCCAATTTTTCTATACTTTTATTTGGAACCTCATAATAAAGGTTGTCCATGCCAGAACAAAACAAATGAGTGGTTGGAATATGCTTGGTGGATTTATATTCTGACATTTTGTTTCTGTTAGAGCATCCGATGGAAAATAGTGTTTCCCATGTCTTATCTTGTAAATGATGAGTGGAAAAAAGTTTTGGGTTTGACAAGTTGTATTGAGATGCCTCTTTGCAAATTGTCCTGTATTCTTTTTCCTGGTTTTATATAGTTTATGCATATGTCAAAACTGCAGGATGTATTCAACTTGCTACCAAACCTCAACGTTACTGAATTAATCAAGGCCTTTGCAGGTAACCTGAGCCAAAACATGTGTTCTATTCTGTTCCAAGTTAGGCATCTGTTACCTTTCTTGGACCCTTGTTCTTATGTTCTCATTTTGTGCAGTGAAAACCAATGACATGATGTTGGTTATATATTTGTCATCCCTCATACGAAGCGTGATCGCGCTCCATAACTTGATCAATAACAAGGTAAGAACAGTTATTCTCCCTCCTGGTACGAATGCTAATCTCTAAGTATTTCCAAGGTCAGGAATCTGGATAATTATTTAATTTACAAATTTATTTTCAGATGTTGAATAAGGAGCATGAGAAAGCAGAGGATGCAAAGCCGGCATCAGTCCCAGCTACCAGTGGAAGCTAAATACTATCTTCTATTCTTTCAGCTTTGGGTTTGAGTTGCCACAATAGAGAGAGCAATTTGTAGCCGAGAAACCTATTATATTTTGCTCAAGAGGCTTCTCCTTGAGAATTTTGTATTCTGCAAATGTGATCGTAGATGACGTCTCCAACTTGAGATTAATTGCCTCATTGATTTGTCATATGATGCTTCTGTATTATCTTGTACTTTTGGGATTAACCATTTGTCAAAGATCCCTAAAATCTTCTTCATTAATTTGGTTAAGCAATTTCTATTGGCGCAAATAAATGCTTAAGGGATTGAATTAGGTACTGAATGCAATGTCTAATTTGCAAACATGCTGAGGAAGAAAAACAATTTATGTAAGATAAATAATTAAAACAGAGATTACACTTTTAGAGTGTTTTAATTCTAAACTTTTGTTTGTTATTTTTTCACAGTTAACTAAACAACTTTGAATGTTTTTCAAAGGTTAAAACACAATTAAAGTAACTCTATTTTAAGTTGACATTCATTAAGTCTAAGTCTAGTCTCATGGTTCTTTCTTACAGCAAAAATTCAAACACTAATGTAGTATGATAACTTGGTCAGATGTCGATGTAGAGCAGGCCGAAAGAGATAGACAATGGTTGAGACGGGAAGTGGTGCCAATGACAACGAGAGAGGTTGCGAAAATGTTGCGTTGTAGAGTTGGTAAGGGGAAGGAGGAGAAAGAAAAGAAGAGATTGAAACAAGTATGTTTGAAAATATTTTATATTATTTGAATTATATATAGTTTGCGTTTAATAAGTAATATTTTTATTAATTTTCACTAAAAGTTTTTTAATATAATTTACTCTATAAATTTAAAAATAAAATAATACAAAAACATATTTAATATATTTACATTAATTATATGTTTAAAAAAAAAAAAACACATACAGCAGTATGCGTTAGAAATACAAACTTTTGTATTTTTCCTTCAGCTTCTTCCATTTACCTTTTGAATACATTTTATTTTCGAGTTTTTATTTTAGCAAAAAAACATATTATTTTTTAAAAAATTACGAATAAAAATATTTTCAATAAGGGAATTAGAAAATAATATTTTATAGAGGCAGCATAAAATTTTGCCCTTCTTATTTCCTTCTTTATTACCATCGACCCTTTTTCAGAAAACAGAAGCAGCTCTACTGGTTTGTACTCGGTATCTGTGTAGTTTCGGTTCCGTTAAGTATTTGATTCTGCTAAACTTCAGCATGTCTGAGTTGTATGTATGTTATTGAGAAATTGCATAAATTGATTGCTCATACGGAATATCGATGGCTTATCTCCAAATGCGCACAAGCTGTTCGATTAAATGACTCTGAAGATGTTGGTTCATATACTATAGGGGTCATCCGAACGTAGATTTGCAGTGTTATAGCTTTTGCTTTTGGTGTATACCTCTCAAATTAGCAATTGGGTTTACTGCTTTTGCAAGGAATTAAGTTGCCCACTCCACAAAGAAGAAAAGATATACAGCTGTTTAAGATATGGGCAAAGCTTCCAGGGATAAGAGGGTATCTTTTCATTCTGCTTTATTTTTTTCCTGTTTCTTTGTCATGGTTCCTCACCCGAAACTTACATCAAGTCATGGGCGTTTGGTTTGCAGGATATCTACTATCGAAAAGCAAAAGAAGAAGGTTGGCGTGCTCGAAGTGCATTTAAGCTTCTTCAGATAGATGAAGAATTCAACATATTTGAAGGTGCACTCCTTGTTAATACGAAATACTTTCAGTTTTCATAGCTGCAGAGTCTAGACATGAGAGTCTAAGCTATGGGAGAAACAGTTTTCATTGGATAAATCCGGTCTTGACAACCAATTTATCTAAACACTTTGTACTTCTTTTCTTTTCCTGTTAAATGTAGTGAATATATCTGCTTGATGAGTTTCTAATGGACTACAATCCATTAACAGGAGTAAAGCGGGTGGTTGATTTATGTGCTGCACCGGGTAGCTGGAGTCAGGTATATGCAGTCCAGTTTTAGTGGCTTGTCATGTTATTCTGCGAAGTATTTGGGATATATGGTGAGATTTACCGAAGCTTGTACTAATGCTGTTTTTTGATGGGCTGGTGTTGAACTTTCTTTAACATGCTTTTGACAGCTAAAATTTGTTTACTTCAATTCTTCATGCAACTGCAGCTCAAACATTCAATTTGTAGATGGTTTATTATTTCTTATACATTTTCTTTTTTATTACATGCTTATACCAGTAAAATTTAATGAATGCCCAGTGCAAATTTTTACTTGTATAGCCAATTGAAATTTCTTCTTCAGTCTTCATCTGCCTTTAAGTTTTGCAGCATGATTTCTGAGTTCAACAATGTTGTAGGCAGGAGATAATTTTTTTTTCTCCCATCACATCAGATTCTACATTTGGCATTGTGGTTATACTATTTGGACGTGATGGTTTGTGAAGTACCTTGACTGATTTTGTATTTTGCTTCTGATCTGCAGGTTTTGAGTCGTAAACTGTATATGCCATCAAAACTATTGCCTGAATCAAAGTATGCTCCTGGTAGTCTGTTTTCCTCTTTCTTTTATTTTTTTTGGGCTTAAAAAAAGGGAGCTCCCTATATTTGATACGACATTTTTCTTTCTTGAACCTGTTTCCATTTTTAATATAACCTCTGCATTCTAATCACAGTGCCAAATCTTTCCTCAAGATTGGGTGACTTAGTTGCCTCCTTCTCTATTGTCTACAAATTAAAATAAAAATGATTGGCGAACTGTGCTCTTTTTAATAATCACTTTGTCTTATTTTTATTATTATTTTCTAAAGAGGGTGGGAGGTTGGACTTAAACTCCTGTAATAAAGCTCCAGCTTGAAGTCATTGTGCCACTGCATATGTAGGTGCTGGCCACTTGCTTCCAACTTAAATTGAAGAGCATTAATCTTACATTCTTTTCATCAGATATGACCACTGTCAAGAAATTAATGCTTTCTTGGCATGTTCTCATTCATGCAAAAATTCAAGTGTGTGCTTGCGTATAGTTTGATCAAGAAATTGCACCATAATTTGATTATTGTCTCTCTCTCTATGTTAGTCTCAAAATCCAAATAATATTCATTATTTGAATTGGTTCTTTTGGGCATTCAATTAAAGAAGTGCTTTGAACCTGAAAACAATATTTTTTTTATTATTTCTTCATTGGAATTCGAAGTTCATTCTTGTTCTTAGTCCATTTCTATATTCTTTCTAGAAAAAAACAATATATTCATAGACTCGATAGTTATATTGTAATAGAATTCATGCTTGATATAAATATTAGATCACACAGAGTCAACAAATGAGGCAGGTTCATTAAAAATTCACAGATGAATAATGGCAAAAAGAAAGCATTGTGTGTATCTCTTATCATTTGGATGAAAATCCAAACATCAGACCTTTGTCATCTGCACTACCTTCGTATCAAGAGCCTGACTTCACCCTTATCTACAGGGATGTTGACCTTCCTCTCATAGTGGCAATTGATTTGCAGCCCATGGCTCCAATTGAAGGTGTTATTCAAGTTCAGGGTGATATAACAAATGCCCGAACAGCTGAAGCGGTGAGAATGCTTTTCCTTCAGTTTATGGCAAGTCAATGCTCAAACTTAAGCACCTCAAAGTAGGCTTTAAAATTCAGTCCAAGTTCTCTAGATGGCTCCTCTAGTAATACCAAATCAAAAGATGTTGGCAGAATAATCTATTTTGCTATCTTTCCTCAGTCTGGAATTTTTTTAATCTGGGACTGTCTTTGTGTGTGTAGTAGAAATGTGTGTTGAGCATGCAGTGAGAAAACTAAAGCACCAAAAATGGAAATGAAAATATGTGAGCCTACAATTCAATAGAGAATAATATATTTGACGAGTCAAATGGCAAAGAATTTTCTCCAGTCAACCTAAAGCAGCTGGGAAGGCATTGTCATTCCACAGTTCGTACATCATACTGGTTCCTGCAGGATGTAGAATATAGTAGGTCGGGATCATAAATCTTCTGCAATTAGAATTGTAGTGGGGGTATACAAGGACTACATTATTCATTTAGTTTCCTGATGGAAATAATTTTTGTACTTCATTTGTTAGACCTTGTTTTACTTCTCAATCAATTTTTAGACCATGGATTTTCCTGCTCTTCTCCAGGTCATTAGACATTTTGATGGCTGCAAGGCTGACCTGGTTGTTTGTGATGGTGCTCCTGATGGTATACAAATGATGATGATTCTTTGATATTTATATTTCAATGGTTCGATATGTTATTATTTCCGCTCCTATTTTATACTATCTAAAGCTTGCTCCATTCCTTGGTGATTTTTAGTTACTGGTCTTCATGACATGGATGAATTTGTTCAATCACAACTCATACTAGCGGTAAGATCAAGAGACTCTACGTACTTAATGTCTAGACTTCTGTTTATCTCGGAACCCTAACTGATATTTGATGTAAATTTGCAAGGAAAATAATTATACATGACCCACATTGATGTGGAAAGAGCATTAATTCAGGGAATTGAGTTTGGGGATCTAAATATCCTGAGTGGTTGAAGTTCTAGTTTTCCAAAAAGTAGAAAGAATTTTTCCTGAATAAATCTGAAAATTTCAAGCTTTTACATAATATCTCTAGACTCTTAATATACTCCTCATGTCAGTCATAACTAGGAAAGTGAATAGGATAACTATAAATTACTTCCAACAAAAAGAGACTCAGTCTAATGTGATAACTTCTAACGTAGGATTTGTGTAATTTGAGTTAAA